GATAAAAACACACACACACACACACACACGCACACACACACACACACACACACACACACACACACACACACACACACACACACGTGTGTGTGTGTGTGTGTGTGTGTGTGTATTTGTATATATGTGTGTGGATATGTTCATTCATTCATTTTCCGATCTGCTTATCCTTACTAGGTCACAGGAGATGATGAAGCCTATCCCAGCTGTCTTCGGGCAGTAGGCGGGCGACACCCTGAACTGGTTGGCAGCCAATCGCAGGGCACACACAGACGAACAGCCATCCACGCTCACACTCACACCTAGGGACAATTTGGAGTGTTTCATTAACCTACCATGCACATTTTTGGAATGTGGGAGGAAACCGGAGTACTCGGAGAAAACCCACGAAGGCCCGGGGAGAACATGCAAACTCCACACAGGGAGGCCGGAGCTGCAGTCAAACCCGGTACCTCAACACTGTGAGGTCGACGTGTCGACACGCTAACCACTCGACCACCGGGCCACCAGAGTGGAAACAAATTAGAGTCATACCTAGACTTTTTACCATAATCCATTCCAGAAAGCTGTTCAAAAAGCGATTTGTTCGAAATCTGAAACTATTTTATTTGCCCATGATTAGGAGCTAATATACTATGAAGAAATAACAATGAAACAGTCAGATTTTGTAGAAATAACATATAAACAGTCAGATTTGCGTAAATCACAACAACCATGTCCGCTCACAATGAACGCGACACGAGGAAGCGTCACGTCCTCGTGTACCGAAGGCGAGAGGAGTCGAGTGCGATATTCGGGTTTGCTCAGTTTGGTCGAAAACCGGTTTTCGGTCGTAATCCGAGACGTAAAAATCTCAAATTTTCTGGTCGAAATCCTTTGTGGTAGATAACAGAGATGTTCGTAAACCGAGGTTTGATTGTATTGGGCTACGTCTACACTTATCATGGGCTACGTCTACAAAGAATAATTTGGATCAGGACGGTGATTCAAGCACAAAACACGAAGAGGACTGTGAAGGGGCCAGCCGCAGTCGCTAACAGTGGCGACTGTTAACCCTGAAGCTCCCACTCGCAGCATCATACAGCTAGAAAGCCTGTGACAAATTAGAACTCGATTCCCCCCCACCCCCCAAAAAAACTTTTTTTGATGATGAGGAACACAATACACAATGGGTGGTTGATTGCCATGTGATGAAAGTATTCGATTCTCAACCGAGAGTGTTCTCTTTACATGTGATCATGAAAACAAAGCACAGAACCATGGCGAATGCTGAAGCATGCACACCCATCACATGCTGTTATCAATATAATGTCTGATGGTTTGATTTCAGCTGTTCTCCTTCATGTTTTTCCTCACTTTAATTTCATTGTTAATTGTGTTTAAATGTTTTTATTTTTTCATTCAGAGCAGAGTGGGTAAAGATACCCCTCCTTAAATATATCTATAATGTTTGAAAATGTAATTTGAATATCAACAAAATATGTGCACAGTAAGTATGCCCAAGTACTGTAAATAACATTGAGAGGGTAAATAAAATCAAACAAGACAACAACTTTGCTTTGATAAAACAAAATCTTAGACCAGGGGTCGGGAACCTTTTTGACTAAGAGCCATAAAAGCAAAATATTTGGAAATGTGTGTGCGTGTGTGTGTGTGTGTGTGTGTGGGTGTGTATGTGCGTGTGTGTGTGTATGTACGTATGTACGTATGTACAGTAAATATTCTCTAGTGCGGACTCGTGTTTGCGCTGTCCAATTTGTCCTGATAACAGAAATTCCTCATTTGGGAAATGAGCATGGTACATGTCCTTTATGAACCTGCAAGTATGTTGACAAAAATGCACGTGTAACAACACAATCAATAAAATACAAAAATATACTGTCCAAAAACTTTATATAACAAAAACTGCAATACAGGTGTATCCAAAAAAAATCACAACAGTAAAATACGTACAGTATTTTAATGATTATTTTTTTTCTGTCTTGGGAAAAAAATGTGTCTATTTTGGATTGTTTGGTTGGATGCATTCTTTGGTTTATGACAATGTTTGCCTGCGTGTCATAGAGTTTTGTTGCTAGTTGCAAGTAACTGTCCCGTTGATCACCGATGTCTGGTAATTCTTGTGCATACTGATGGTTTGATTCCATTTGCATTGCTTCCTCGCTGGATGGTGGCTTATCATCAGGAGTTGAATCGATGCCTTGTTTTTTAAAGTTTCGTAGATTTGCGTCTTTCCGACTCCAAGTGTCTGCTGGATGCTTTTAACTTTGTGTCCAGCCTTGCTCAAACGGATGCATTTCACTCGCTCCGATAAAGTTAAAATCATTCACAATTACAGTAAAACGCACGCCAATAATAACTCACTTACACGTCGTCGTTTCGAATCTGATGATCGAAAAACGTGAAGTGAAAATGTGTCTCGGTGTCGTCGCTCCGTAGTATCGGATGGGCGTTGCGTGTATATATATATATATAATAACCCTCGTCTCACCCCTCGGGTGGTGTCCATCCCTCATTCAGCTCGGGTCCTCTACCAGAGGCCAGGAAGCTTGAGGGTTCTGCGCAGTATCCTTGCTGTTCCCAGCACTTTTCTGGACTGAGATGTTCATTGTTGTTCCGTTGTTCTGTTGCAACCATTCATCCAGTTTGGGGGTCACTGCCCCGAGTGCTCCAATCACCACAGGCACGACTGTCACCTTTACCTTCCAGGCCTTCTCTAGCTCTTCTCTGAGCCCTTGGTATTTCTCCAGTTTCTCGTGTTCCTTCTTTCTTATGTTTCCATCACTTGGGATTGCTACATCCACTACAATGGCTTTCCTCTGCCCTTTATCTGTGATCACGATATCCGGTTGGTTCGCCATTACCATCTTTTCAGCCTGTATCTGGAAGTCCCACAGGGTCTTCGCTCGGTCATTTTCCACCACCTTTGGAGGTGTTTCCCATTTTGACCTTGGAGTTTCCAGTCCATACTCCGCACAGATGTTTCGGTAGACTATGCCAGCCACCTGGTAATGGCGTTCCATGTAGGCTTTCCCTGCCAGCATCTTACACCCTGCAGTTATGTGGTGGATCATTTCAGGTGCCTCTTTGCACAACCTACACCTTGGGTCTTGTCTGATGTGGTATATCTGGGCCTCTATGTCTCTGGTGCTCAGGGCCTGCTCCTGAGCAGCCAGGATGAGTACCTGGGTGCTGTCCTTCAGGCCGGCTCTCTCTAGCCACTGATAGGACTTCTTGAGATCAGCCACTTCTGTCATGGTCCGGTGGTACATCCCGTGTCGGGGCTTGTCCACCCATGATGGTCCCTCTTCCAGCACCTAATCCTCTGAGACATTCTCTGAGTACATCATCCATTGGAGCCTTCTCCTTGATGTACTCACAGAGCTTGGATGTTTCAGCCTGGACAGTGGCTCTCACACTCATTAGTCCCCGGCCTTCTTACTTAGGGCTTGCGTACAGTCTCAGGGTGCTGTATTTGGGATGGAACCCTCCATGCGTGGTTAGGAACTTTCGGGTCTTCACGTCCGTGGTCTCAATCGCTTCCTTTGGCCACCTTATTATTCCTGCAGGGTATCTGATCACTGGCAGGGCATAGCTGTTTATTGCCCAGGTCTTCTTCTTGGCATTGAGATGGCTTCTTCGGACTTGCCTCACCCGCTGGAGGTATTTGGCCGTAGCTGCTTTCTTTGTTGCCAGTTCGAGGTTGCCATTGGCTTGTGGGATACCGAGGTACTTGTCGTCCTCAATGTCTGCTGTTGTTCCTTCAGGGAGTGAGACCCCTTCAGTGTGGACTACCTTGCGTCTCTTAGTCACCATCCGACTACATTTCTCAAGCCCGAATGACATCCCGATGTCACTGCTGTAGATCTTGGTTGTGTGGATCAGGGAGTCTATGTCCCTTTCGCTCTTCGCATGCAGCTTTATGTCATCCATGTCGAGGAGGTGACTGATCGTAGCTCCATTTCTGAGGCGGTATCCATAGCCTGTCTTGGTGATTACTTGACTTCGGGGGTTCAGTCCTATGCAGAACAGCAGTGGGGAGAGACACAACCAGGATCTACAGCAGAGACATCGGGATGTCATTCGGGCTTGAGAAATGTAGTCGGACGGTGACTAAGAAAGGCAAGGTAGTCAACACTGAAGGGGTCTCACTCACTGAAGGAAAAATAGCAGACATCGAGGACAGCTACAAGTACCTCGGTATACCACAAGCATGGACACTTGGGTAAGTGGCTTGCCATTGGCTTCAAGTGTGGTTTTCCACATCCTCATCGAGTTCGCAACAGAGGCTTTTACAGTCCTGTTCACCTTATGCAACTCCAAGCATTCAGTGATCTATGTATGTGGCATCAAGTCATTGGCTTTCTTCTCATCAATCCAGGCTCTGCATGGGTTGATATGTCGGGACCTGCAGTTTTGTGCGACTGTTCTGTCAACCAGGAGCTGATGTTTGGCTCCTCTGGTATCTCTACCAATGCCCTTCTGTGCTTCGCTTATGTAGTGATCCATGTTTCCACTAATCTTAGCCACTATGATGCCTGACATGAGCTTCCATGTTGTGGAGAGACAGTTTATTGGCTGTTGGTTGGATGGGACTGTACCCTTTGAGGGAGCCTTTATGATCAGGATCGTTCGCCCCTTCGGTCAGCCATCCTGGGTGAGTCCCATCCCTCAACAACTGGTTCATTTGTGCTGCTAGGCACTCATGGAGTGTTGTGAGTTTCGTTTGCCAATCGGTGTGGACAATGCCCGGGTCTGGTGCTGTCCAGTTTTTCCTGTATGTCTGCCACTGTTATGGTAACTGGGTTCTGTTCAGGGAGGTTGCTGTGCTCCTCTCTGAGGAGCCTTTGTTTGGCAGTTTCGAGTGCTTCAGGTATCGTCATCCGGATGTACCTCTCGAGGCCTTCATCAATTGACTCACGTATTTCCAAGCCGCCTTGCCTCCAACTGTTTTTTCCATGGTGGGTAACGTATCTCATGGCTTCCATGTTTGCTCCTACAGCCAAGCATCTCTAGGATCACTGATGCTGAAGTGTATATCAGCTCATTGGTTTCCGTGATCATTACAGTAGGGATCGCCCTCAGTGCTGCATTCAGTTTCCATCAGACTTTCAGGTGGTACTTCACATAGCCGTTGTAATCGGTTTCTAGGTTGGCCAGCTTTCATTCTCGCCATGATATTAGCTTTCAGGTCAGTTGCTGCCTCGCTCAGCATTTCATTCATTGGGGCTGGCCTCTCAATCTCATCATCTGCATTCATTGGGGCTTGCCTCCCAATCTCTGGTATAACCTCCTCCTCTGATCTGTCAGCCTGGGGCCCTTCACCATGGAATCTGCGTTGTACCTCATCAATCTCAAGTTGTGATAGCATTTGCTGCTTGTGGATGTTGGAACACTGAGCTACTCATTGTTTCGTGGTCAACCGTGACTGTGGGTTTCAAAGTAACCATTCAGCCCACATTCTCTGCATGGAACCCATCTGACTCGGGTTTCTGGAGTAGTAGCATTCCAACAGAGCCATGTTATCGCATCTCGCCCATCTCCACTTTGTTCCAGTAGCCCATTTTTCATCAAGGTGCTGTGGTTCCCCAGCACCTGACGCAGACCTTGTTTGGCCGGGCGACGTCTGAGCCGCGATGATGCCATGTCATTCCTTTTATTGTCTCTCATCATTACATGAGGTAGGCATTAGCGTAAAGGGTATTGCCCAAGGACCCACACTGGATTGTGTTATGTGCTCATATTGCCCCAATCGGGATTTGAGCCGCCGTCTCCGGTACGCCAAACCTGTGCCTTACCAAATGAGCTCTCCAGCAGTGATGTGTTCCTCGAGCCGGTCCTTGGCCTCGAGGACCGGCTCGAGGACCGAAGGTCGGTCCTTGGTCCTTGGCCTTGGCCTTGGGAGTCAATTCCTTGGCCTTGGCCTTGGCCTTGGGAGTCAAGTCCTTGGCCTTGGCCTTGGCCTTGGGTTGCCGGTCCTCGGACACAATGAGGGATTAGAGCCTCGAATCCCTTGTCCACAGGTATAAAGTGGGACCGAGGATCTCAAAAACCACGAAGGAATCAAATAAATTCCGTCCGGGGAAACGCATATTGATGGATTAAGCTGGCGCTTTAATAGGGGCGGGTCTGCCACTGACAGGTGACAGTTAGCGCAACGAATAAAGAGCGGCATCACAGTTAGTTTCAATCACGGTTTGTTCCATTTGCGATCGGCAGTTTAAATAACGTGTAAAGTCTTTCTGGAACAGTGGTGTCTTTTATGTAGTTATTTTTGCACAGTCGTCACGTTTCTGCGGTGGCACTATAATGTTTGTTTGAACCAAGTAATTTGCGTTACAGCTGGAGTCAATAATGCCGGCACTTCACTTCCGGGTTTGGCCGTTGGGATTTGGAGTCCTTTTGCTCGATTCCAGTTATGTTTTTGGTGAATGCTTTCTCATGTTTGGAATAATGAATATTGATAATACATAGTTTAA